AAGAATCAAAGCTACTAGAACGTGACAATCTCAAAGACTTTCCGGACCACGTGTTTGTGATAAAACTGCATATAAACGAAATATATATAAATTTTAAATTCCTACATAACAAAAGAAGATAGAAAACATATGAAATTCATTAGTGAAAGTGCAATATTCATGTCCATTGATGTCCAACAGAAAAGTTTAAGAGTATCTGCAAAATTCAGATTCTGGAAATGTTATGCAGCAAGTAAATCAAACTCTGAGAGAAAATGAAAGAAATAAACAATGAAAAATTATTTAAATTAATTGGCAAAATCTTATATGCCGAGTTATAGCTTTCGGTTGACTCTCACTAACTGCCGTGATGAGAGACTTCTTACACAGGGCAAAAACAGAGGAAGTTCTTTAACGTCCACACAGGACAAAGACAATGATATTGTTGCGTCAGCGAGTCACACGACCACTGTGACGCCACGTTTCTAGAACTATCCTGTACTTTGGCGAATGCTCTAGTAGTTACTAGATATAGGGTAGTCGGGTATATAAAAGAGGGGGACAACGTGACGCGGCATTGTAATGTGTGTAGAGACAGTGAGTAATTGATCTGCAGTCAGAAGTATTATTGAGCACGTTCGTTGTTATAGCGTTTGTTTAGCGCGATTGTTGAAGTTGAGTGTATCGGTAAAGTTGTATTCGGAAAGAATAAACCAGATTTATTAAGTAAAGAATTTGTGTCGCTAAAGTTTCGCCGGAACGAAGTTACGGAAAATCAATTAACAAACGGAGACGTAACAATATTTTTGATTTATTGCTAATATTCAGGCAAAACGTAGAAGTGTGATTTACCATAATCCAATGCTGCATACGTAATCAACTATTCCAATAACATTTATTGGGGAGGAACTCCTAACTTACATCAGTTTTACTGGTTTTTGAGATTGGCTTGCTTCTCTCAGGGAGGCTGCCAGGTGTGACAGCGGTAAGTCTACGGATGTATAACTTTAAAATCAGAGGCTGGATTCCCCTTGGTGGATACAGCAGATATCCCAATATTCTCAGGGTGGAGGGGATGGGTGTATATACACTGCCAAAGATGTGTTATTTTCAAGCACTAGGCATATGAAAGCTAGTTTTACCTTATTAAAAAATTAATAAATGTTTACGACCTTTTGACATTGATTGATAATAATTCCATCCTACATGAGAACACCTGACTAAAGTTATTGTTACGTCTACTGTGTTCGTTTGTTAATTTT